TAGCAGCCTATTTATGACGTTGAAATCTGTATTGGAACTTGAGCGTGCAAGTATTTGGCTTGTTATTAGCGATTCTGTTAGCCTAATAACCTGGAGTAGTTTAGTTATTCCCAAAATATTTAGAAGTGAGTTTTTCATTAAAACCAATAATATTTTTGTTGCTTTCTCTTTCTTTTTTAACATTTCAGATGTTATTTCGCCAATTCAAAATTGAATGTTCAGAAAATCGTTTAGGATCTTGTCATGAGTACCAGGAAAGCAGTAAAGCAAAGCACTAAATGTTTGTTGTTACTTGACTATGAAGAATAGCCTCGTTGCTTGTATTGAAACCTGTCAACCAGTTTGTGATGAATCGCTCCAAACTTCCTCTTTACTCAGAGTAAGGTCTTTGAAGCTAGACATAGAATTATTATTAGTTCTTTTAGCTATCGCGTTGTAAAGTGTTCTCATTAAATAAACAAGTACCGACACACACACACACACACACAAATATGAGTTGATTTTCATGCTAAAATTGTCTTTCCAACTCCGAGTTCGACTATTCGTGTATTAATAATACCTATTTGTCACATAAATTAATTTCTATTCTAAAATGATGGCAATAGAAATAGATGGTATGGCAGTTAAAATGGTTGAGTAGTAATTTATGACCAGATCTGAGCAAGTTAGTACTAGGATTTCAGGAATGTTAGGAAATTGCAGCTCACCGGTTGACAGTGAGGAATAGCCGCGCTACTTTTGAAACCCTGTCGTCACGTGATGAATCGCTCACATGACTTCCTCTATACATAAACTTTACATTACTGTTGAATGCTTGAAAAATAGTCCTAAACTCTAGAGACTTGTGCCGTGTACCTTTGCAATGGGGTAAGAAAAGTTTGTGTTTTTTACCTTAAGTAATGTAGTACGACATAATTTAAGATTCCTTAAAAAATGTAATGGCTACATAAAGTGTGGGATAGTCATACTTCGGCATGAATGGGTCGGCTTGACCGGAGCTATACACCTGTCATACCTTACAGAAAAAGGAGTGAAACAACCACAACATTAATCCCTAAGGCTGGCACCGTACTCGTAACTGCTCTGCTGTTACGTCATTGCTTACCATCAGCTAAGCTCGTATGCCGATACTTATGACATAAAAAAACTACCGTTGCGTATGAGCAACACAAGATGGCGTTAATCTAGCAAGAGCTCAATTTGTCCAATCACTGAAACCGTCCAAAATGGAACGTCTAATGATGACGTATGATACTAGCTAATTCCCTATTAGACTAAAGCTTCATTTAGTAAGGAAAATCATGTATTTGCCAGAGCAAGCCAGCCCAATTGACGGTAGAAAACAACACATCGATTTATAAACACCACTATTTGTCCCTCGCAATTTTTCCCCGCATGTTTAAGAGCCAGCTAAAGGGCTACAAATTCACCAGAGCGTACGGCGCGCAGCGTTCCGCACGCGCCTCAAAGAGTCAGTAGACTACCACAGATGGGGCCCAACATGGCCGATGTCCAGCCAGATTTGCGGTGCGATAAGCGTCGGTCTGAAACTCCCTTTCGCCATTCAGAAACAGTGTGAAACTCCCTTTCGTCTTACCGCGGGCGAGAGAAGCCATTTTTTTAATTTGCCCTCACAAAAAAACGCTGTAGCATAAACACTTTTGTAGTAAGTAGCCTTTTAGTTTACTATATAACGAGATTAAAAACATTATGCAATTGTAAAGAAAAAATAACTACTTGTGTATATCTATGTACATTTTACACTACATTAACTTGACAGACGGATATATCTTAAAAATTGACGTGTTATATAAAAGATGTTTAGGAATATTAAAAAAAACAGTTTAATCTCTCAAATAACTTTGTTGATGTGTTATTCCAAGTGGATGCCTCAAGCTGTCTTCTTTTATTAATGGATCCATAAGTCCCTCTTTTTACAACGGGTGACCGAGTGTCACTTAAAGTTTCAAGTAGCAACTTCCATCTAGAGAGACAACTGTTGCTTTGGAGGCTTCGTGCCACAAAGTGTATTTGTTTGAATGTTTTGATTTGAATGACAACAATAGAATTAAATAACTATTAATATTCCACGCGTATATCATATTAATATAAAGTAATTTACGTACTCCATAGGAAAAAAATATCGAGCGTGGAAAGCCAAATAATTTACCCGAATTCGATTGATGGCTGGTATGGTTATTTTTATATCAAATATTGCACTATGACAATTTTAAAAATAAAAAATAAATAATATTTGACTCGACCACTCTTCATAAACAGAATAGAACATAATACAACACACAATGACGAGAATGGGTTTAATTCACGTAAGTGGGTTGTTATTTTTATGTCACCATAGTTACTATGATTAAAAAAAAAATAACTAACCACAAACGCATCACTCTACATTATTTAATACAGGATGCTTTTTAAATGATAGGTCGGCAAACGAGCTGATTTATTTCCTGATGGTAAGCAATCAGCGCTGCCCAAGGACACCCGCAAGAATAGAGGAGTTAAAAGTGCCAACCTGTTGGGGATTAGGGATTTCGAGATTTAGGTATTGGGGACGGGAAATCATACGGCGAATCATAATGCTGTGGTTGTTTCACGCCGGTATTCTTTGAGACCGTGGTATCACTCCGATGGAGCCGACCCATTTAAATCCAATATAATTGTTATTGAATATCCACAATCCGATTGATCGTCATCCACCCAATAATTTGCAACTAATTCAAGCGTAACAAACTGACCTGTGATTCGACTGATCCGTTAATTTCCAATCACTGGGGCGTCAGAAATCAGTTGATTGGTTGTCCACCATTATTAAGTCATGTGACGTTTGACAGGAACAATGTTTGCTGTCATTTTAGTGGTCAATTTGAATGTACCGTTAATTGCGATTAATTTCATTGTTTGGGCGTTCATCGTGCGAATTGTATTACTATCTGTATTTTAATATATTTATATTCTTTGTGTGTAAGATATAGTAGTAACTTTGTTACAATAATTCTGATAAATTTTAATCTAACATAATTCTTTATTTCGAAAGAAATGTTTTGTTCCTCTTATTATACAAGAGTACTCTTATTGTAATACCGATTTTTTATCGGCTATGTTTCTAGGCCCTTATATACATAATATATGTAAGTGGACGGTTTAGCCTTTGTCGCACACTGAGTATAATTCTGGCAGTTTGAGAGTATAATAAAATAATGAAAAAAGTGCTGTCAAAACTTTCCTCCCTCATGGATTAACCCAGAATCATTTTTCAGACCTTTTTTTAGAACAACGCACAAAAAATACAAAGTTAAATATTAATATTTAAACAAGAAAATTGCAAGTACAAACGGGAAGTACTAGGGTCGCATAAAAGCATGTCACAACCCTGTTTTACAAGCTACACAACTGTCGCCCTTAAGTACAGGTATTTCTTAAGTCTTTTTAATTAAATTTCTCTGTACATAATCCCGGGCTTTGTATAAACTCTTAAATTAATTTTGTCCTGCTTTTGTTTTAAGTTGTGGTTCTAACAAAACTTAGTGATTGTCTATTTGTTGTGGTCTGACTGTAAAATTACGACTGTTACAGTAGGCAGTGGGCAGAAGAGACAGAAATTAAAATTTAGCTGAAGTTAAAATTGCATTCGATAAGACTTATTTTGTAGTTTTCGTGAAGGACACACTATACTAGACTAGACACTGTTAAGAATGAGTTACAATTTTTAGCGACATTTTTGTTTTTTATGTGACAAGTCGGCAAACGGACAGGTGGATTACCTTATCAGTTCAGCTGTTAGCGCCGCCCATGGACACCCTCAAAAACATTTTTGAATTGGGGATGAGGGATTTAGAGATTTCGTGAATGGAGAAGGGGAAGAATAGAGCCTCCAGTAACCTCACTCACACAGCGAAACACTACGCTGTGGTTGTTTCACGCCGATTTTCTGTGAAGCCGTGGTATCACTCCGGTCGAGCCGACCGATTCGAGCCGAAGCATGCCTCCTTATATTATGAAGAGCATGTTGTGATACAAGTTATACTGTACAACCTGATTAACTCATTGTACATTCCTAAAGACACGGAGAGCCGCCAATATAAAGGTGTATTAAGATAAAGAAAAACAAAGGCTTAAAACAATTAACAGTCATTTTGTCTAGGTAATTACTTCTCCTTGGAACTTTTGTGTAATTAAAAGAAACGGTCCACTCAGACTAGATCAATTATACCTCTTCTTTGATGTACCTAATTGTTTTTGTTAATTTCTTCATTTCCAACAAAATTTGTATTCGGTTTCAAAAATCTTATTAAGTAGATAAATGGCTAAGATTTCGTTGAAGAAATATTCTAACTGAACATTACGTGGCGAGGTTTTTCATACCAAAAAAGTATACTTTAACGACTTGAAAGAAAATTTTAGTATAAACTAGCTTTTGTCCGCGACTTCCTATGCGTTTCATTTGTTTTTTGGTTTTGATGTTACAGACAGATTAACTTTCTCATTTTAATAGGAAACTATAATATTTCAATCCACAATAATTCAATCCAAAAAAAAAAAATGCTTATACATATATGTAAATGGTTGAATAACCAACATCGTCTACTTTTGTTGAATCTACAAATGTTTTTTTTTGTGAGGGACAAATTGTCAAATTACTTCTCCCGCCCAGTTAATAAAACAAAAAACTACACATAACGCTCTTCCTAGCTGAACGGCATCTTACCTAGCCAAGGGCAACCGTGGCTAAAAGCGCTAAAATAGTATACTGCGGTTTGGAACAGGAGAAGGAATGGACTTGGTTTTTAATCAGAGTTTAACACTCCCTCTGCGAAATTATATGATGATATCCCTGTCAAAAATGACGTCCTAAAATATGTTTGCTAAAAAGTACTTTCAACACCAAAGAGATGCCACTGTCGCTTCAGCATGCTAATTTTATACGCTATATCGTTAATTTTATTTATTACGAGTATTAAAATGTTCTTTTTCTTTGTTTTCAGGAACATAAGTGACGTGTGAATGCTTACAATGATCGTGTCTATGTGACGTAAGTTTGTTGCGTGTGCGCAGTGGATCAGTGACGTAGTGAGTGACAGTTGACACAAGATGGCCGACCCCGACGCGTTCGATGACGAGGTATGGTACCTTCTAGTTTTATTAACAAGATTTTCATTGTTTTGAAAATCTTTTTTCTTTCATTCACACATGTGACCTGTCGAAAGTATTCAAATTCAAATTCTTTATTTGCATCTTAAGGTACAAGGATCTTAAATTAAAATAACAGGCATAGCTTAACGGCCTTTTTCAGGCGTTGCAAAGAGGGCTATTACTAGCTTATAAAATTACATCACATTGCATACAAAAGAGTCAATAATTAGTTAAAGTTTAACTTACCTTTTTCTTATTACCTTTTTATACCAATATTTTTACATTGTTGCGGCCCACCACCTGCTTCGGGTTTCCTCGTTGCCAGTCATTTGTTTTGATAGCAAACCACCACGGTTGGATTGCTATTTCACGACTTTCTCTCGTTTTTAAGTTTCTTTTATACCTCATAGCGTTAGCAGAAACAGCAGAAAAATTGTCATCGGAATCGGTCTAGCCATTAAGCCCAATGCCATGAACAAGGAAAGTTTGTATACATTTTTATTTAAAACATAGATTGCTTGTAGGTATGACGTCTGTTACTTTAATTTCAAAATGGCGACATTAACTTAAATGAAATGAAAATTATTGTGTAAATATGATAATTAAATGACGTCCATGTTATGAGATGAATACTAATTTGGAAGTATTCTTCGTACTCTTTCGAACACGATGGGTATAATTTTTTGCCTCAAGATGGCAATAATGGCGCTAACCAAGCAAAAGGTCAGTTTTTAGGGAATAAGCAGACGGATCACCTGATGGTACCGACGTCAGTTTCTCTAATTACTATAGCTATCAAGAATTTAACCTCAAACTTTGCTGCACAAAATTAGCTTAATTAGTTAATTTCCTATTGATCGCAAAGAGATGTCCATGCTAGAATCTCTAGTGAGCAAAAAACAGCCTTCATTGTTTTCGGACCATAATCATTCTTAAAAAGCAATACCTAGTTTTAATAATGACATAATTATATATGATTTATTTTCAGTAGTTAATATTAAACCGAATTTTGAAAATACAAATCCCATTATTAATACTTATTTTGTAACACGCTTCAAAAGCAAGCTCTGGTGAGTGTGAATTTTGTCCAAAATCCAAATTAGTTCTGGAGATGATAGTGACAAAATTTTAATCGGATTTACACGAGCTGCATTTAAACAACTCTTACTTTAGCTGGATTCCTGGTAAATCAACTCATTTTCATATATTTATGTACCTACATAAATGCATAGCGTGTCGGATATTAACTTTTATAATACGGTGACATTGCAGTTCTCTAGTTATTTAAAGTTAGATTTACCCGTCAACTAGTTGGTATATGTGTAGTGAAGTTTTGCAACCAAATCGTACCATATTACTCCGTCCCCACTTATTGGGCACTATTCCAATTTTGAATAAATAACGGTTTTTGTTAGTTCGGAATTCCGTTTTGTTTCATAAAGAATTCGGTTTTTATTCGTGTTCTAATCTGGAATGCTGAATTTGTGAGAAATAAACAATTTTCGAGGTTGATTGCCGGTTTTATATTTCGTTTTTTTTTAGCTGTAAACAATGAGTGGAAAACGCTAAACGTGTTTATTTTTCCCGACCAAATTAGTTTTCTTGGTGCGTGCGTCATTCATAACAGTTTTAAAAATACAATGATTTACGATTTATCACTATACGATTTTATTGTTTTCTTGCTAGGTGAGTATAATTTATCAGATCTATTATTTGTCAAACAAAACCCCAGGATAAATAGTATACCTACTCTTTACCTATTTGAAGCCAGTATACCTAATACAGTCTTATCGTTGACAAACACTGAGTATAAAACCAAGATTAGCTTCAGTAAAACTACAATTGAAATACACGTGCAATTAAAAGTGCAGAAAGTCAATTAATTCTCTATAAAACTTTATTGCACAGTTTATAGAAAGAACTATTTAGTAAATGAATTCGGTTAAAAAAAATCCTAGCTACAATATGTATAGCAGTTTCCGTGTTCTAATTTTGAAAGCACGTCAATTAAATATTATTGGCAGGGTCCACAGCGTTCGTCGGTTTCGCGCGCTTTTTTATTCAGCCATATTTTCGTTTTAACTGCGTTTCGTTCAAGTTTTTTAGTTTATGGTGGAAATATATTCGCAAAATATAGCTTTTATTTTCGAGTTGATATTTTTTTGTTCTATATTTTACTATTTTAGCTGTGAATCGAAAAAACGGGAAGTGGTGTTGCAGATATTTTATTTATCGCATTTTAATTGAATACTTAGGTATTAGTTGTTTGTTGTGACACAGTTATTTTTTATGTCTTTTTTTTTTAATTCTATGAAAGTTTTTAATGTGATAGGTCGGTAAATAATCAGACTTACATATTCCGTGATGTACACCCGCAACGATAGAGGAGTTACGAGTGCGTTGCCGACCTTTTGATTAGATTACCTTACCTTAGTTTGAAGATTTAGGAATTGGAGGAGGGGAAGGATTGGGCCTCCGGTAACCTCACTCACGACACTCACGACAAAACACAACGCTGTGGTTGTTTCACGCTGGTTTTCTGTAAGGCCGTGGTATCACTGTATATATGGAATACTTAATCTATACTATATACTAATATTATTAAGAGGTAAAATCTGTAAGTTTGTAAGTTTGTATGTAGGGGGTAATCTTTGGAACCGCTGATCGGATTGCCAAAATTCTTTCAGTGATAGGTAGCTACAATGTTCCTGAGTGCTATAGGCTATAAAACATCACGCTACGATCAAATGAAGCAATGGGAGAACGTTACAACTACTAGTGAAAAATATAGTAGTTCATAATAGAGTTTTGTTTTGTTTTATTTATTTAAACACCACATTAGCGCAACCGGCTCTTCACACACATTAAACCCAACAAAAAGGTTCAGAATCACTTAAACAAAACAAAAACTGCATCTTCGAACTAGAACAAAAGAAGAAGAAAACCGCATCAGCATGTACCAGGCATCCATAGATGCATGAATGTGCGATCTAACAGGTGAATGTAGATTGCAGCAAGTGCTTTTAGAGATGCTCTCGTGCATAGGAATGGCAGAATCTTTATTTATAGAAATGAAAGACACTTTTACAGAGCTACGTGTTTATTTTTTCCGTAATCTACGGATCTGATTTTCTTTATAAATATATGTAGTTTTACTCTGCAACTTGTTAATTAATTGTAGATTGATTGAATTGAAAATGTATTGTGGTCGTTGATTCTTCGTAATGGGTAGGTACTTGGCCACCTACTATGATTGGTTGGACAGTTTATACTTTTTATAATGTAAAATGTACCTTTTAAGCAATAATAAATAAATAATAATAATAAATAATGGTGGTAAGCGAGAAGCTATACACAAGTAACCTAACTATTACTCGGGCCTTGAAGACACCCAGGTTACTCGGGTACGCCCGAAGGGTATAAATCCATGGTAAACACTTCGGGCGTAGATCCTCCATTAATCGATGTTGTTTTGGCGATGATGGAAAGGACTTGGGGGAATCAAATCGCGCATTACCTATCTCTGGTATCACTTAACTTAACACTAACCACTATAAACCAACTTTGTTCCAATCACTTTTAATTGCTATTTTCGTGACTGAGAGCCATTCTTTGTCACGAAAGGGCTGGTTCCACCGGAGTGATATGACCACGTCCTTACAGAAAATTGAAACAAAACGTAAGCCTTGTTTCACGCCTTTGAAGAGTTTACTGGAGGCCCAATCATTCCCGGTTCTCCCATATCCAATCTTCTTATACCAAAGTATTAAAACCGTTGGCCGTCACGATCACATGAAAAAATACCATTATAAAAATCAGAATTGATAGAAAAAAAATCATTTTTAAAATTATAACATGAATTCGTCAGTAAAAAATAGCATCAAAACCCGTTTTTTTCAACAAAAACCTTTTGTATATCGGGGAACAAAACACCAGCCTGTTATTTAGCGATATTTTATCTGACCCTCAGATACCTAACTGTGTTTTGATCACAACCGTTTGGGGAAAAAAATTGACAGAGGTCTGGTTTATACGACTATACAATAAAGAGAGGAGGGTTTTTGTTAGTTATAGTAAATGTATGTTAGGTTGGGTTTATTTTTTATTGAAGTATTTCATAAATGTTAGAGTAAAAACTAAATTTATAGGTTTGTTTCAAACTTCATAATCACTCGAAAAAATGGTATGGTTCCTGATTCAAGCCCTTCATGTGTAGCGGAGTCCGTGACCTTGGGTTCAACCTCAGAATACAGAACAAACCAGAAGGCGTCATCGCGCTTCAAACAGAAGCCACTAAAACCATTCTCAACTAGAATAGTATGAAATTTCTACGATCAGTCAATTTTGGCACGTGGCATGTCGTGTCGTATTTACGAGTATCAATTTTAATTTCATTATGCCGTCTTGTGTTATTACTACGAGTAAAAATGCGACTGGAATTACGAAAAAAGTGTATAAGATTACATTTCATCTGCAAGCATCGACTGCAATAGTATATTTAATTAATTATTGAATTTTTTTATTGATTTATTTTTCTATGAAAATGATGCGGCCATTTTGTGAGTGTTGTCATTCTTGGTGAAAATTTTACCCACTTATTTATTTGTTGTGGGTTATATTTTTGTCCATTATGAAGCCTATGTCATATTAGTTTCCCTGCCGACTAACAAAAAAAAATTATAATCATACAAAGGGCACGGTTAGATTAATTTTGGAAACCATCTAGCTAGAGCATACTTTGCTCAATTTGAAGAGACTTTGAAGAGATATATTTATGACAAAGGTGGTTTGAAAACAGCATATCCTACTAAGATATATGTATACTAATTATAATGCTGAAGAGTTTGTTTGCTAGAATGCGCTAATCTCAGGAACTAAGTAAAGTAAGTAGACTTCTAATCTTTAGTTCCGAGTCTAAAGACAATACATATAAAAAACTAAACCAGCAAAAGGGAACGCAATAAAACCTTTGTACTTATTGAAGCTTT